ATCCATTCCTCATTAATAGACACACAGCCCAAATTTCAATCGTGCATAAATAAGAGACCGAGAAGCACTGCAATCTGTCTACTCAAGGGTGACACGGAGGGGAGACGGAAGAGCCTGCAAATGCTGGCCCTGATCCTGCAGCTGTAACAGAGAAAAAGATGCCCGTGTGATGCTACAGTTAGCAGAGCAAACAATACGCTGGCATGCATCAACCAATGCATCTCAAGCAAAACTTAAGGAAGTTATTCTCCCGCTCTACTTGGCATTGGTGAGGCCATAGCTGGAGTACTGCATCCAGTTCTGGGCACCGCACTTCAAGGAGAATGTGGAGAAGCTTGAGAGAGTCCAGAGAAGAGCCACTCGGACGATTAGAGGCCTGCAGAGCAAGTCATATGAGGAAAGGCTGACAGATAAGGGACTGTTCAGCCTAGAAAAGAGAAGACTTCAGGGGGATTTGCTGGCATCTTGCAAATATATCAGGGGCTAGACGAACAACTGTTCACCAAAACACCCCGGAGAAAACCAAGAACAAGTCATAAACGCCTAGGTTTCAGACTGCATATACAAGGAAAAACTACTTCATGGTTTGTGTGACCAGACTCTAGAATAGACTCCCAGTGCAGGTGGTGCAGGCATCTGTCCTGGAGATCTTCAAAAAGGAGACTGGACGCACACCTTGCTGGGGTTATTTGACCCCAGCAGTCTTTCCTGCCCAGAGCAGGGAGGCTGGACCCAATGATCTCCAGCTCTAAACTTCTGTGGATCTGCGAGATATGGCATCGGTATCTCATCCTCCACCCAGCACTTTACAAAAGCTAGCTCACACAGGCTCCTTCCATGCCAAAGCCTGCTACTGTGCCCTGCGCTAGGCTAAGCTCTGGAGTTCAAGCTCTGCTAGGGCTGCAGAGACAGTGCTATGTTCTGTCGGACCAAACCCTATGCAAAAAAACAAAACCCAGCTCTCAACACTTCCTTGCAGAAAACTGTGCATCCTCTGAAGAGGTGGAAATGACACTTGGTGTTATTTTTGTTATCCGGTTTCACACAGAATTCAGGACTGCATGTTCCTTTTTTTCCAATCCTCCACAAGAAGAACCAGACTCAAGACGAAGGATGGCTGCAAAGGTTAATGAGAAAAATGCATTCCCAGTCGGGGGTCGGCTATTAAAAACTCTCAGCAAAAGGATTCTCTTTTAGTGCAGTTAATGGTCATACTGGAAATAAGGAGACGAATCGTTTGGTTGGAAGACTGCAGATAATTTCGGGAACATTTCTGTGGGTAACTGAAGGCAGGGTTTTATTTACAGCTGGATACAGCTAACATTGAAATGCCTCTTCTGCCCTCTGCCGCTCACAAGAAAAAACAACCCCCTGCCATCACATTTCTCCATTTCACTGTTCCTGGCCCTTCTGGTACCTCTCCATGGCAAGTCCCATCCATTCCCCTGTTCCATGCATTCTGCTAGTGCAAAATGCTACCAGAAAGGCTAGTGTCAAGACCATACCTTCAGGTATCTCCATCTCTTGCTGCCTTTGAGAAAGCCTTACTGAGACACAGGCAAGTCCAGATTGTTTTAGGTCCTTGATTGTGCCCTGCTCACAACAAACCATGCTCCAAGTTCAAAGTCCTTCCCTTGCCCCTATCCAAGAAAAGTGTCTCGGCTCTGGTGGGGGGGTGGGCAGGATGGGGATGGCCTGCCATTGCCAACATGCCTGTAATGGATATTCCATCACAAACCATGACACAGCATCTCCCTTTAAATATAGCAGCTTGGCTCAACAGGCTTTTGTTGCCACCACGAACAGCTGCTTTCAATGAAAAAAAAGAGGCTTCCTTGTGTTAAAAAAAAAAAAAAAAAGCACGACAGTGTCTTTTCTGTTAGCTCACCCAGTCACCAATCATCAACATTTCAATTAGAAACATGTGCTGCTTCTTTATAGCCTGGGTAGGAGACTGCCAGCCATTTTAGGTAAGCTTTTCATGCCCCGCAACTTGGTATTGTGTACTTTATTTCTCCTTGGATGCCAACCAGCATACGTACAAACTTAAAGGCAAGTTTAATTTGAATTCTCTCCATTTTATACCTTGCTCCAGCACAGCTGAGCATAAGCAGTGATGTTAAAACCAGTGTTTAAGTGAACACCCCAGCCCCACAACCTGGAGAGCAGGACCGTGAAAACCCAGATCTAGCAAAGTCACCTGCGTCGTGGATCTGGGCCACTGCTCCTCCATTACTGGAGATTCTGCTAAGCTATCACTGTACACAAGGCATTTACTATGTATTAGCTGCTCAGGTGGAAAGACCGGCCTGTTGATCATTTTGCTACCTCGCAACATCCTAGGAAACGAATGGGAACGCTGCATTATTCACCTTGGCCATGGATGAAAGACTGGACAAATGCAAAACATTTAGTACTAGGATGCTAAAACCCACACACACATGCCCTTTACTGCATTAAGGCAATTCAATTTCCTCTCCCCAAGAAAAAGTTTCCAACCCCATCTTGCTCATGAGGTGGGCAGAGAGAGTATACAGTACAAACATAATCATGCTTGTGTTTAACCCGGAGATCTGTTCCATTGTCAAGAAGGAAATTGTGACAAGAGGCAGAACCTTTGCATCCAAAGCAGACTTACTGCTCCTGTCCAATGGAGGTTGCTGCCTCCCTCCATCTCCATACTTCAGACGGCAGAACAAGGAAGGCCTTTGACATCTGCGGCTCAGCAGAGGTGATCTGGAAGGAAGCCACCATGAAGTACACAATGCTCCCTTTTCTATCTTTCCCCACTGATCTGGTTTTGTGGCACCAAACAAAAAGGACTTCAGTTCACATTTGAGACAAGTTTCCTTTATTTCTTGGTAAAGTAACTGTTCTTGCTGTTTTTCACCCAGTATTGGAAAGATCACTGCTTCCTCTTGTCTGTATAAATGCACTTGGTATTTCCTGAATCCTGAGCAAGGGTGGTACGGAAAGCAGGTCAATGCACATTCATCCCCTGTTCCCCTTGTTTATCATATTCGCCCACAATCAGCAATGTGAAGGCTTATCGGAGCAGCTGACAGGCAGTCAGCAATGCAGTAGTGTAAGGTTTTCCTTTTTTCCCCTCCCCACTGCATAAAACAAAGCCTAAAACACTAGAAGATCAGAGAGATGAAGAAGATGTAAAAAATTATATATATTTTTTATATATAGATATATATATATATATATAGGATTCATATCTATTTACAATGCAGCTGGGACAAACAGCAGAACATTTGAGGAGATTATACAAGACACCATTAGCGTGCCCCCCACCCCACTGTTCCCAGACTGCTTCAGAACCTGGATAGAAAGCATGAGACTGAGACTAAAAGCATGAAATTGCACGCTCACGAGATGGAGGGGGTCCCGCCATCTCCTTGTCACCCAAGATGAGGCTCCAGTCACCGTGACAAGAAAGTGGTTCTCTACAGCCTCAGAAACGTGGTTGTATAATTGGCAAGATATGTCCAGCTTGGTTACTGGGGTTAAGTCGCTGCTCTTGGGAACACCCTGCCTAAAGCAGAAGCAATATCATGTTTTTCTTCCCACTGACGGCTTAGCTGCAGCAAAGTATCATCAATTTACGCTGATCTCTGAACGGATCACTCGGCAATTCTCAGTCCTAAACTAAGAGCAGGAAACCTACAGTCTTTGCCAGATACAGAGCTGCAGATATTGTCACTGTTCACTGGGTTTTCCTCTGTAGTGAGATATCCCATAGCAGTGGGGGCCAGCCTTTTTGGCAGGCATGCTGCAAATTGAGCCCCACAGCCTCTCCAAGTGCCACTCCGGTCCCCTTCCTTGCCTGATCTGCTGCTCTGCTTCCTGCTCCCTGCCCCTCCCCGATCTGCCGCATGCTGCAGGTTGGCCGCCCCGTCCAACAGAATAGAGATGCACAAGATTCCCCTACACACAGTTTCCAAGTTAACCCAGAGATTTAGGCTCACTCTTGATCCAGCAAGCTGACCCTTGAGACTTTAGAGTCACTGGTTCCAGCTACATGCCTTCTAAACCAACACAGTATTGCCTCTGTGACAAATATCCTTGGCTGAGATTACAAGCGCACTTTGATTCAGAGTCCCAGGTGAAACGCTGCTTTTCCTGTGTCGCGTGGAGACATACTGTACATGCATTATTGGCTGGGATCTTGCATTCCACAGGCTGCAGCCATGGCCTCAACAGTTTTTTTCAGGCCTGAAATAAAGACAAAGGCAAAGAAAGGGGAAGGCAGAGGTGGAAAAAAGGAAGAAAAAAAAAAAAATACAGAGCTGATGTGTCCTGCCATCGACTTGCAGTTTCTGTCCACTCCCATCCTCCATTCCCCATGGTGACTTTTAGCCCTGCACTCCTCTGTCTCTCTGAGGGTTCTGGAGAGCTGGAGCTGCTATTCATCTTTCTGAGCTACAATATAGGAACCCAACTCTCATGTTTCCACCTCTCTAATCCTTTTCAACCGGCTCAGACCTTCTTGGTGACACTGGGCTGCACCATTGAGCCAAATGTCCCATCACTGCATGGACTTGGAGATCCGAGTTCGATTCCCACAGACCTCCTGCACGGCCTTAAACTTCTCCATGCCTCAGTTTCCCCAACTGCACAATAGGGCTAATGCTACCTCCCTATTACAGGGGTGCTTGGGGGATTGATGCATTAAGAATTGTGAGCAGCTTTGATGCCGTAGCAATAGGGCTGGAACAAAAGGCAATTTAAGTGCAGGAGCCAGCTCTCATCTAAGCGAAGAGGATGGCATAACACACCAATGGTCAGGAAGCATGGTCTCCTCTGAAAGTCTGGAGGGAAGGAATACGAATGTCTTCTAATGACCCCTGCTGGACATGCTGGTAAGTGTGAGCATGAAACATTTTCCAAGGTGTCGACTTTTAAGAGCTATGATTCTGTCCTATTGCTTTCCAGAGCTTATTTATTAACCATTCAGGATCTCGACTGTTTCTTTAGCTCCCGGATCCATAAACGTACCCCGTGGGCCCTGTCTGCCATCACTCTACTCCCAATTTCTTCTTCCACCACAGTTTCTAGACACAGAACCTCTTCATACCCTGCATTTAGCAGGACATCAGTCCCAGGCTGTTTCAGAGCTACAAACAGCAGGCCACTCCCTTGGGGAAGTTTTCTGCTTTTAGGAAAACTTCTTCCTTTGCTAATAAGAAGGCAAAGTTCAAAGAGGTGGGCTGGTTTAGACAGGGCTCAGGCAGAACTAGATGCAACCAGCTGAGAGTCCTGCCAGCCCAACTTCTCAGATGCTAACTGCTTCTGCTAATGATGGGGCTTTAACTATATGTAAAGTAAGGCAGCAAACCAGCTTCATATGGGAAGAGTCTAGTCAGCTCACTAAATCACTAGCCACACGTCCATGGAGATCTGCACATCTCACTTGCTTTTCTCTTTCTTTGTGCGTGTGATTACTGTGTTCAAATATTTAGGTTAACTCTGGTCACCCCAGCCCTATGATACAGTGAAGTTCAATCCATTTAACAATATCAACAAAAAAAATTAAAATAAAATAAACCATCAGGAGTGCAGGTTTACCCTGCTAGCTTGCTGGTTACAAGTGAGGACTTTCTCTGTGGGAGATCCTGAGGCGTTGGGATATGGTCTCCTGTCACCAGGTTCTTGTCTGGCCCCGTGCTTGGCAACTGCTTGTTCTTCATCTTTGCCTTGGCCATGTTGTAATCGCCAGAGTCAAAGTACTTTTGCTGAAAGAAGGACAGGGTTCGGGTTACTGCAAAGAGCCTTCAGGAAGCACGTAGCCTACAAATTTAGCTGGAAGATGCAAAACCAACCAGCTACGAACATGCTCCCTTGATCCAACACCTCTAGAGTCAAGTCCTTGGCTCCTTTGCTGCTGCTACTTAGTTACTTATTACAAGGAAAGATCTGTTTCTCTCCGTTCTGCCTTTCAGAAATGTGGCGGAATAAGTGGCACCTTGTACCACATGCAAGAAAATACAGCACCTTACCCACAGGTAGAAGTTCAGTTGTTCTAGCCACACGGGCATCTTGTCATCAGGGCTGCTATTTCGTTCCAGGTTTGTGAAGAACCTGCACAATGGGGTTCTGGCCCCATACAAGGCCTACTGGGACAGTACAACTCTCCCCACCTGGGGCCAGACCCTAATCACACCTATGAGATGCCCAAGTGTAATTGTATTCTCCCCACTCAAGTGCCTGAAAAAGCATTCAAGATGAAGGTGGTTGGGTCTGGCCCTCCTCCCAGCTTCTTGTGACTCAGCCCTGAAGCAAAGATGGCAACAGGGGACAAAAGCAGATGCAGTAACAGGTTTTTGAGGACTCTAACAAATGGGATGGGGAACACTTCTAGGTACCTAATAAGTGGATCTGGCCGTACACCTTCTATTGGTCTAACTAAGCCAGAGAGTCTCAAACAGGGTGCTGCAAGATCCTTTTAACGGTGCCCGCACAGTATCAGCACTGTGAATCACCTACACACAATTCACAAGATAAACCCAGAGATTTTCCATAGGATCCCA